GGGGAAGGAAACAAGCATTCATGTCCAAAAGGCAGAGAGGACCCCTCCCAAAATCAATAAAAATAGATCAACACCCCAACATGTAATAGTGAAGCTTGCAAGTCTTAGAGCCAAGGAAGCTCTCCTGAGAGCAGGCTAGATAGGAGGTTCCTTACCTACAGAAGGAGGAACATCAGACTAACAACAGAACTATCCACAAAAACTTGCTGGCATGATATATTCAGGGTACTAAATGAGAAGAACATGCAACCAAGAATACTTTACCCAGCAAGGCTGTCATTCAGAATGAAAGGAGAAATAAAGAGCTTTCAGGACAGACAGAAACTGAAAGAATATTACATTGATTATATATACTACATCATCTTTATCCATTCATCTGTAGATGGACACTTGGTTGATTCTATTTGTTGGCTATTGTAAATAATGCTGTTATAAACATAGGGGTGTATGTATCCCTTTGAATTAGTGTTTCTGTATTCTTTGAGTAAATACCCAGTAGTGCAATTACCAGATTGTAGGGTAGTTCTATTTTCTTTTTTTTATGATCGTATACTTTATTTTTTTATTATGTTATGTTAGTCACCATGTAGTACTTCATTAGTTTTTGATATAGTGTTCCATGATTCATCGTTCATGTATAAAAACTGAGGGTTTCAGAGGGTAGTTCTGTTTTCAACTTTTTGAGGAACACCCTCAAATCCATACTGTTTTCCACAATGGCTGCACTAGTTTGCATTCCCACTGAGAATGCATGAGGGTTCCTTTTTCTCCGCATCCTCACCAACACCTGTTCAAGAAATTTTTAATCTGAAGTTGATGGTTTAATTTGGCTACAGATCTTTGGTGACAGGTCATCTGAGAGAAGGTCAGGCTCTTGTGTACATGGAATTGGTGAGTTTATAATTCACATGTAATAGTCAAGGGAAACTTGCCTTTTGAATCTGCAGCTGACTTTTCTGCAGGTCGGCCAGTGGGGGATACAGGAAATAAAGAAAAGAACAAAAAAATATATAAAGATACAGTGAGAAATTAGGTGAATGTCCTACAGGTTCTATTCAAGACAACAGGGAGGAGACACTTAGGGAATAATTTAAAGAAGGAATGCCTGAGAACTGACACTGAAACTGCAACTGAAGCATTGGAGTGCAGGCAGGGGTATGTGTGTAGGTGTTGGGTTGGAAGTGAATGATGATAATGGTGCTCAGAGAAGAGATAAAGGCAATGCTTGATTGTGTTTGTATGGTCCTGAGGTCTATCAAAGATGAGTCCCTGAATGAATAGCAGAGCCACAATCTAAGATTAGAGACTAGAGGAGAAGTAATTTTTATTTGGGGGAGGAAGTTATTGGCTTCAGTGTGAGATGCATTTCATTTTAAGTGCCTGTTTCCACATGGCATGTATAGATGGTTCCTCAGAAATGAAATCTAGAAATGAAATTTTAGACATCGTCATTATAGAGACAGCAATGGAAAACTGGATTGCATGAGTTTTTCAGTCAGGAGTTTGAGATGTCAAAGAATCCTAGGAAACATGAACTTCCCCAAAGGAGGTAGTGGTCCACTTCTGCTTTGATTCCAAGTGGAAGACTGAGAAAAATTCATCTGATTTGATTATGGGAAGTAACTGTGATGTTATGAAGATTTGTAAATATGCAGATCAGTATCCTCATGGAGCTCACCCTTAGTCCTCCAGAGGCTGAGGGGAGGCGGGGACTGTTGCTGAGCGCAGCTCTTTTGGTTCACTTTTGAAGGGGAGGAAATAACTGGGCAGGAACTAGAGATAAACTGGTTCAGAGGAGGATCTGTTTCCAGAAAGAAGAGACTAAAGGAGTTTATAGGGCTGGATTGGGAAGAGGTCCGTAAAGGAGATTAGCTTCTAATTAATAACAAAAAGTTCTCCAGGGAGCGTCTGGGTGGCTCAGTCGTTAAGCGTCTGCCTTCGGCTCAGGTCATGATCCCAGGGTCCTGGGATCGAGTCCCACATCGGGCTCCCTGCTTGGCAGGAAGCCTGCTTCTCCCTCTCCCACTCCCCCTGCTTGTGTTCCCTCTCTCTGTCTCTCTGTCAAAATAAATAAATAAAATCTTGG